CTCTCTCTCTCTCTCTCTCTCTCTCTCTCTCTCTCTCTCTCTCTCTCTCTCTCTCTCTCTCTCTCTCTCTCTCTCTCTCTCTCTCGCCATCGTCTCTCACTCTCACGCGCTCAACAATCTTCTTCTTCACGATGATGATATTCTCCTTCAGTGAAGGCGGATTCCCTCTTTAACACGCGGCGGTCTTCAGCACGGGCGCACAACGATGGGTGCGCAAGCCAATCGACACAGCGCACATGAGTGTGAGCAACGAAGTAGGCGTGCAAGAACTATCTGTGCAGGCAGATGGCAGCGGGGCGCGATCAGCAACGGGCGCGCACGGGAAGCAGCGGCGCGCAGCTAAGAACGGGTGTGCGGCAAGCAGCGGAGCACGCGCTTTGGTGACGAGCAATAGCGGCGCACAGGGAAACTCAGCGCGCGGGGCTAGCGCGCAGTTTAGAGCACGATCTTGGCAGCGGGCGCGCACGGCAATGGTGGGCACGCATGGCACGCTAGAAACAACGGTGCGCACTAGCGCACGATTCTAGCGTGTAGGCGCCGATGCCAGCGATCGTGATGATAATGACAAAGGCGGCGATTGCGACAGCGGCGGGACAGCGGGAACGAGCTCCGATGCCATTGCAATCAGACTTGTCTCGGACTTGCTTCAGCGTGCATGCAAACAGATGACGAACAAACTTTGGCGCACAGCGCCCACACGAAGCTTGGAGATAAATGTGGTCGGGAACACAACTGAGATTCAAACTTGTTGTGATGGCTATGGCGCAGGGCGCCAAACGATTATTCCCACCCGATCAACGGTATCCTCTAGCAACTTATTCACACACACACACGCACACATGGATCACCCTGGATGTTCCACACACATACACGCACCTCACACAGTAACTCTTCTCTCTCCTACAGAGCAGCTATGGCTGCCATCTCCCTCCTAAGCTAACTTGCGGTTATGGCCGCGTCTTCCTCCTCTTAGCCATCTTCTTCGTCGAGCACCTGCAGGCCTCCATAGCACAAGATGCTCCGACAACGCTTCTGCACAACTCACAGGCAGAATGAATGCATGACTTGACGCGGCCTCTTTATTTATACTTTGGATCGTCATTGGTCTGCCCTTGGACCCTGGGCCCGGGGTGTACACAATCCCACATGGTACTTGCTGACTGGACAAAGTGCGACCAGGACTGGGTACCTCGGACTGGACTAGGTAGGACTAGGACTGCCCCTCGCTGACTGAGCTAGGACTGCCCTCTGCTGACTCAGTCGAGGACTGACTCCTAAGACCTACGAAGAGCCAGTTCTACAACTTCTAGAAGGTCGTGGACTTGACCTTTCGGAACTGTAACAGATACGACCTATACTAACCCTTTGACTCCCTATTCTAAGGTCTACGTGTCAAAATCTCACGACCGCACTATATACAGTAGCCGAACATAGGACTTTCAGGGAACAGGTCGCGGGTTCAAACACATGGGTCAACGGGTACTGTACACGAGTAAGGGGTGTAGGTCTAGTGTTGCATAATGTAACGTGCAGACCAGAACAAGAACCGACCTCTCAATACAAAGTACAAGATAACATAGCGGAAGACTTAGATACTACTGATCCGAACAATCAATATTGCAATGCAGCCCTGAACATACATCATCATCATCGTTATCTGGTGTGAAGGGGGTCTGGCGCTTCACACAAGAAGACTGCGCCAGCCCCAACCATACACAGACGAAGAAGGAGGGGTTATAGACGAAGAGGAGGGGAAGATGGGAATGTCGTCAACACCAAGTCTTGGCACATGCCTAAATAGTCCCTCGTCGAAATGTCTGAATCCCAAATGTCCAGTCTGGATCCAATGTCATCAAGTCTCAAGTCACAACTCTTTCTCTCTCTGTCGTAGTCTGAGAAGTCAGGTGGCGAGAGGGTGAGAAGAGATGGTGGACTTAGAAGAGGAAGAAGAAGAACTCTCTCTCTCCTAGTGTCCAGTACTAACCTGTGAAGTTGGCGCCTTGATGCAGGTACCTCGAAGATGGAGCTGGAGCTATGGCGCCACAAGTAAGTACCGCTGGCCTTCCCCAGCCATCTCTCCTAACTCTACGATCTACCACCTAATAGCGCCCAGCGCTGAGGACTACAGCTATGGCTATGGGCGCCCAGCGCCGAAGACTACTACTAGCGCTAATACTACTGCCTAGCGCTGAAGACTACTGCAGCGCTCCTCCTGAGTGCTGCGGCCGAATCCTGAAGACTACTCGTGCCTACTGACACCCACCCGTGAAGTGCATGGGAACTTCCTATGTACTACCGGGTGTGCCCCCTGACTCGTGCGAGCAGTCCAGGAGGCAGACCTGGGCACCGGGCGCTCAGAACCGCACCCACCTGCACCCACCCAACCCACAGGGTGATGGGTCGGATTTAGGTCTACATGAGCTGTCTTGGGTGGGTTATTGGGGGGCGTAGCCAGCATGCCTTTCTGGGTGACGGGCGGGTGAAGATTTGACCTGGGTCACCCGCTGGGTGGGTGGCAGGCGGGTGATGGCTTGGCCTGGGTCACCCGACCCATAGACCCAGGATGACCCGAAAATTATGCAACCTCCTCCCCTCCCGCTCCTTGTGTAGTACGTCGGGCTTGAGGTTGAGAGCCAAAGAAAAAAATGTCTGATTCAGTTGACCAGATCCTGATGAAGTAACGCCGGTGCGAAAGCAGTGCAGCTGCCCCTGGGCAAAAACAAAAATCTTGAAATATTTTCCTTTGAGAAGTTCGAGTCTCATTATTGATGTTGCCGTTGTTTTAATAATAGTTGCAATGCTATGTTGCCGATGAAATCGTGATGGTGTAAGGGACTGGCATGGGCAGGTGCGGGCTGATGCGAGTGGGTGCGGGTGGGTGTGGGTGAAGAAAATTTAGGTAATGGACGCGGGCGGGTGATGATACTCTTACGGGTGCGGGCGGGTGTGGGTGAGGGCTTTTTTCGGGTCACGGGCAGATTGGGCATGGGGCTGAAATTTCAAAAAATATTTTGGGTGGGCGGGGTTGTCTAAAAGTAAACAATAAAATTCTTGGGCCGGGTGGATGGGGAAAAAACAAATTTGGGCGGGTTGGGTCGAGGGTGAGGAAAAAAAAATTTTGCCCACCTTTGCCAGGAGGCTGCTCTTGCCAATGCCGAAGGGAGGCAGGGGCTGCAGCTGCAGCTCCTGCTCAAGCTTGTGAGGAACAGGCTATTTCTGGCCTGTTTCGAAACCCTGTATTCGTGCCTGAGTCTTAGGGGTGGTCGAAACAATGAGGGCCTAAAAAAGGCCCTCCGTTTCAGGCTGGAAAAACTCTGGGCCTGAAATAGGCTGAAACGGAGTAGGGCCTGCATGCCCTCGTATTTCAGCTTTCAGGCTGAATGACGGGGGCCTGTAAGCCCTAAGTCTTAGGCTTTTAGGCTGAAAGTGCGGGACGGGGCCTGCAGGGCCCGTGTGGCTACGCAGTATGCCACACCCCCCCCCTCCTTGAAAGTCCGAGCTTACCTGCGAGGGCGAAGCTCTCTGTCTGAGGGAGGGACCACAGTCCGGGTGGGAGGGGCAGGTCGTGGGGGTCCCTTGGCTAACCTTTGACGCTCGTAGTCAGCGTAGATCAGCGGTGCGGATGATTTCAAATCTGCTCCTGAAATCCACCGAGTGTCGTCAGGATCGCATGCTCTGAATGTAACTTTGTACTGTCCCGGCTTGTTGCCGTACTTGCGATCCGAGATGATGCGGTCAACCTCCTGATGACCATCCATAGGAGGGTCCTGTGATCGTCGGCCCGGGAAGTCGTCGCTCTTAGCTGGTGTATATGTTGCCAGCTTCGAGGCGTGAAAGACTGGATGGACCGTCAGATGCTCGGGAATGTTGATCACAAATGAAGGGCCATCGGGCTCATCGCCCGCGGCTGTTGTCACAGACCAAGGTCCAAACCACTTGGGAAGTAGTTTGCGTGAAACATCCTGTTCCAGTGCAAGCTCTTCCGCAGAGACCCAAACCAGATCACCGGCGCAGATGGGACGCCTATTGGCTTGCTGCTGCATGCGGACTTGAGCCTTTTGCATGTTCGCGCAGGCTTGAGTCAGCAATTCCCTGTACTTCCGGACGGAAGCGGGAGAGCAGGCAGCGTCAATGCCGGCTGGTCGAGGGAGGAGAAGGTCGGCGAAGATCCGGCCTTTCCGTCCACCGTGGTGCAACTCGAATGGAGTCACGCCGATCGCCGGATGCACCGAAGTGTTGTAGGCGAACTCGATGTCGGGGAGGCGGTCAACCCAATCTTTCTGGTCCGGACGGATGAGCGTACGAAGCATCATTTGAGCGGTTTGATGTGCCCGCTCCGTCTGCCCGTCTGTCTGTGGATTCCGAGCCGATTTTGGCTTCATCTTCGTGCCGGACTCCTGCATGAGAGCAGTCCAAAATGCCGACATGAAGCAAGTGTCGCGGTCGCTGACTATGTCTTCTGGTACACCGTGGCCACAAATCCAACCGGTGTGCAGGAGGCGTGCCAGCTCGGGAGCCGTGGAGTAGTACTTGCAAGGAAGAAACCGCGCGTACTTACTCAATCGGTCCACAACCGTGAGGATGCCGTCGTGCCCGAGCCGGTCGCGAGGGAATGGACTGGGGACGTCCATGGCAATGGAGAGCGCGGGTTCCCGTGGGATAGGCATCGGGCATAACTCACCGTAGGGATTGCGGGCGGGGCTTGCTGCGTCGGCAAACTTCGCAAGAGTCGCAATACCGAGAGACATCGGTAATGAGATCGGGCCATCGGAATCGCTGTCGAAGCCGTGCAATAGTGCGGTTGACTCCGAAATGGCCGGCGAGTCGTGAATCATGATACTCGCGGAGGAGGCGAGTCCGAAGACGGCGGTCGCGTGGGACACATAGTAAGTCCTTGCCTCTCGAGTGGAGGAGCAAGTACCCGTCGGCAATGCGATAGTGGCTGGCCGGCGGGTGATCCGAAGATAGCTGTGCATACAGCATGGCGAAGTCCGGATCAGACTCATATGCCCGGATGAAGTGTCGTTGAAGCTCCTCGTCGAATGCGAAGGCATGATGTGTCATAGCGCAAAGATCAGGTCTTCGCAAGAGTGCATCTGCTGCGCGATTTGAGAGGCCGGGAAGATGTTTCGGTGTGAAGTCAAATTGGTCGATGAAGTACATCCATCGTCCGATCGTGCTGCTCACCGTATCCTGTCTTGTAGTAGGTCAATGGATTGTTGTCCGTAACCCATGTGAACCTACGACACCCAAGGAGGAAGTGTCGCCATCGCTTGAGAGCCATGACGAATGCGAGCAGCTCCTTCTTCCTTGCATCATCAAGCGAGTTGATGGGAGGCACTTTGTGGCTGAAATACTCCACAGGGTGCCAGACGTCGCCGTCGTGCTGTTCCAAGACTGCCCGTAGTCACTCGCGTCGGCAGGGTGGGGTCATAGATGCTAAGGACGGGTGTTCTGAGCATGGCCGTCTTGAGTGCTTGGAGTGACCGGCGTGTGTCGTCATCGAATACGAATGGCACCTTTGGCGACTGGTGATGAATCGCTGATAGTAGCCCGCCAACCCCATGAATGAACGAACGTCCGTGGTGTTGGTGGGCTTGGGCCATACTCGTAGGGTCTCAATCTTGTCCGCAAGCAGACGGATGCCTTGCGGCGTCACATAGTGTCCCAAGTACTCCAGCTCCTACCCCGCGAATTCGCACTTGTCGCGGTTGGCTTTGTACTTGGCTTGTCGTAACCGCTCCAAAACGGTGCGCAGGTGTTCCACATGCTCCTCCAAACTCCGGCTGTACACCAGGATGTCGTCGAGGTAGATAAGTACGTAAAGATCCAGCATGTGTCGGAACTCCGTTGTCATAGCCGCTTGGAAAGTGGCTGGGGCATTCGTAAGGCCAAATGGCATGACCAGCCATTCGAAATGCCCATATCGCGTCTTAAACGCGGTCTTGTAGCGATCCTCCTTCCGAATCTCGAGTTGGTGATATCTCGACTTGAGGTCCAGCTTGGAGAAGAACTTGGCGCCGCCCAATCACTCGAGAAGATCGTCGATGCGTGGGAGAGGGACGGCGTTTCTGATCGTCTGCGCGTTGAGCTTGCGATAATCAATGCACAACCGCAAATCGTTGTTCTTCTTCCGGACGAAGAGAACAGGAGCACCGTATGGCGATGAGCTAGGCCGAATCCAGCCTTTCTCCAGAAGGTCGTCGAGTTGTGCCCGAAGCACACTTAACTCTTCCTCGCTCATTCGGTAGATGCAATCGCGTGGAGGTACGGCTCCGTCCTCGAGGATGATCTCGTGGCGGATGGGCCGATCCGGTACTACTCCGTGCGGGCCTTCGAACACGTCGTTGTAGGCGTCGAGAAGTTCGGTGATGCGTGGATCCGAAGATGAGTCCGTCGATGACACGTCTTGGGGCGGGAGGGCGTGGAGAAAACACACCCCCATCTCCTCGATGCCGTCTCTAATGATGGAAGCTCGCATGCTTGTGGCGGATACCTCGTGACAGCTGACTGAAGGGTGAGGAGGAGCTACCGTGCATGGGACTAGTACTCCGTTCCGATCACGAATGTCAAATTATGTGTCCAGAATGTCACCGGGTGGTCCTTGCTTCGCAGCCATGACATGCCCAAGATCATGTCGAATTTGGTGTCCAGAATGTCAAAGGACACCGCCTCACTTGCGTGAGGGGCAAAGTACATTCGGACGTCGTCAATGCACCGGTCGATTGACTTGTGCGTGTGACCGTCCGCCAATGTGACTTGCGTGGGCTGGGACTTCCTTCGGACTCCTGGGCCAAGGCCAGCGCGTACCATGAAGTCCTGACTAATGTAGTTGCGAGATGTTCCGCAATCAATCAAAGCGCTGCAGGTCGCCTCTCCAATCTGAATGCGTACACTTCGCAATGTAGGCGTGAAGGTCGACAACCTCTACTCCGGCGTCCATCAACGGAGTCGGTATTGCAGTGTGCAAGTAATCTCACAATTGTGCCTTGAGCACGTTGCAATGCGGTTTCGGCAAGCGACCGTACCGGGGCAGGGGCATCCATTGGAGTTCTTCAAGACTTGACCATGTCGTTGAATCCCCGGCGGTAGATGACGGCGAAGCTGCCGAATCGGTTGCCGATGGTGATGAAACCGTGCATGCGGTAGATTGTTGCACGTGGAGCGGTTGGTCCAGCGGTGGAATCAAGTGGACAGCATAATCCTCGTAAGTGTACCGAGGACTTGCGACATTCGCATCCTCCCCAGATGTGTAGGAGGCCGCTAGCAAGGTGGCCGAATCTGGCGGAGTGGGGGGTGGAGTCGCCTCACCTCCCGCGAAAGTCAGTTTTCCGAGTTGAGCCGAGGCCGCACATCCTTCTTGGCCTGATCCTGGCAAAGAGAGGTCTTGTGCTTGGTGCTGTTGCACCAGTAGCAGCAGCCGTAACGGCCGCGGTACTTGTACTTGGGCTCGGTCAAGCCGAACTTGACCCATGGTGGTGCTGGCTGTCCATTTCCGGCCGGCGATGCTGATTTCGCCTTCCCGTTCACTCGGGGTTTGTTGTTGCTTCGCGGCTGGATGGCAGCCACGTGATCCCCCTCACGTGATGCTGGAGTGGCTGTTGGGTCTTCTCCACTGTCCGATTGGACTGCAGCGAATTGCTGCTGTTGCGGACCAGTTCTTACCTTCTCCACATAGGTTGGCTGCCACGTTGACTTCTCGTGTGCAGCTGCCCTGTTGGTCTTGATGATCTCTCTCGCCTTGTTGATGATCTCTGCGAAAGTGTTGTACTGCTCGCGATCACCAAGTGCGAGGCTGAGAGCGGCGCATGACCTGTTGTAGAACTCACGGCGCAGATGCGGAAATGGCAAGTCCAAATCGGGCGTGGCCACGATCTTCTGCCAATCCGTGAGCCAGTCACATGTCGGTGTGCTCCCTTGAGCCATCATGAAGATGCGGTTGATGGCAAGTGCAGGGGCGTCGTCGACGATGAACCGCTTCTTCCATTCCTTTGTCATATCCTCCCAGGAGACCTTCTTGTACAGGTCTGAAACCTGGACGCCGTGGATGGTTGCCATGTGGCTGAGCCAGATCTGACATCCTCCCTTGGTGTTGATGAAGAGAGCACTGATGAACAGATGGTCAGGGACCTCGTGAATCCCCAACTCCGTTGTAAATCCTTGCCACCAGACGACCGGGTCTTGATGTGTGTAGTCATCAAATTTCTCGATCCGGAACGTCGGCATCTTGTATGGCCTCGTCGAGCTGTTGTTGTGGCTGTGGTCAGTCTGCTGTTGCTGACTGATCTTGGTGTCCAGCAACTCGAACCGCTGGCTGATGGTGGCCGGCTCTGCCTAGCATTGCCACTACGTGGTTAACGCGTTCCTCCAGTTGGCGGCTAGAGGGTGCACTGCTGGAAGCCCCAGCCCGTGGTCCTGTACAGCCTGTTCCAGGTCCAGTACACGGGAATTGAGTGCCCGTGTTGCATCCTCGTGGCCCTGCACCATCCGGCGGAGGTTCGCCAACTCCTGGTGCTGTGTCTTCAGATCCTGGTACTGTTGCTGCAGTTCCTGGGTCTGTCTCTCTAACTCGGACCGTTGGTAGTTGCAAGCACACAACAACCGTGTCACGAGTTTGGAGAGGAACTCCTTATGCTGCTCTTCCAATGTTGCCTCGTCGCCGTTCGGTTCAAAGTGCCAGAACTTGAGTCTGTTGATGCTGTTGGCTTCATGCCGCTGCAGCAGATCCTGGGCTTCCTTGCGGCGAGCCTGGGCATCTGCGTCTGCTTCGGCCTGGAGCCGCAGCTTCTCTGCTGTTGCCGCTTCTTCAGCCTGTAGCTGGGCAGCCGCGGCTGCCAGCTGGCGTTGTTCCGCAGCCTCGATGAAAGCGAGCTGAGCCTGGAAACGCTTTTTGTAGTCGGCAATGGGCGCTCATTGGCCAGTTGGCCTGGCAGGCCCGTCATGTTGCTGATGTGGCACTGCTGACGTGGCACGGTGTTTGACGTGGCACTGTTGACATGTCACTGTAGCTGAAGACTACAACTATGGCTATGGGCGCCCAGCGCCGAAGACTACTACTAGCGCTAATACTACTGCCTAGCGCTGAAGACTACTGCAGCGGTCCTCCTGAGTGCTGCGGGCGAATCCTGGAGACTACTCGTGCCTACTGACAACTACCCACCCGTGAAGTGCATGGGAACTTCCTATGTACTGCCAGGTGTGCCTCCTGACTCGTGCGAGCAGTCCAGGAGGCTGCTCTTGCCAATGCCGAAGGGAGGCAGGGGCTGCAGCTGCAGCTCCTGCTCAAGNCCAGGTGTGCCTCCTGACTCGTGCGAGCAGTCCAGGAGGCTGCTCTTGCCAATGCCGAAGGGAGGCAGGGGCTGCAGCTGCAGCTCCTGCTCAAGCTCGTGAGGAACAGGCTATTTCTGGCCTGTTCCGAAACCCYGTATTCGTGCCTGAGTCTTAGGGGTGGTCGAAACAATGAGGGCCTGAAAAAGGCCCTCCGTTTCAGGCTGGAAAAACTCTGGGCCTGAAATAGGCTGAAACGGAGTAGGGCCTGCAGGCCCTCGTATTTCAGCTTTCAGGCTGAACGTGCGGGACGGGCCCTGCAGGGCCCGTGTGGCTACGCAGTATGCCACATCTTGGGATCGAGCCCTGGGTGTGCTGCATCTGTCACCGAAGTAGGTGAAAACCGTTTCAACGGCAAGTATGATTTAAACTTTTAAAGTTGGGAGATGATATCTCACTTAAGCTACTCTGTGTAAAGCTGAGTTGGGTTTTTCTGGTGTTTTTGTAACTTTATTAATTCCAAAGGCCAATCTACAAGTGAATAGGCCGCTAAAGGTAGGCTGGTTGTACAAGGGCCCTGTTTTCGGGCCCGACGGTTGTTCCAGGCCCCCAGACCGCACACCCATTTCTTTTTTGGTGAGTGACCTGGAGGCCCACGGCCATCTTTCCAGGCCAGGCACACATTTGGTTCCACGTGTGCTCTCCTTTATTCAGCATTTATTATTTTGTCTGGACTATTTTTGTCTGTTTCAGGTGTGCAAGGAAAATAAGCAACAGCGAGATGACAATCCCAAATCACACCATCACATTGCAAGCCAAATAGTCACACCGTGTCCAGATAGCAGCATTGCACCAATAATACACCAATGGAGTTTCGTAGCACTGAAAACCAATGTCCATGGAGAGCACACTCTCTCCTCTCAACAAAAGAGTCCAGTTCCCTTACACTCACATTTGGCGCTCAGCGCCCAGCCTACTCCTACACAGCTACTACAGACTACAAAAGACAATGCAACTGTTGACATCAACAACAGCCCGAAGTACTTGAAGATGCCGCCCATGCAGACCATCGCCAATACAAGGTACGTGCCCTCACATCATCATCAACATCATCATCCTTCACCTATCCCCTGACTTCACCCACACCTGTCCTCTCTGTCACCCGAAGACCACCCCTGCGCTTCACTGTAGTGCAAGCCCACCAGCTATGGTGGCTGGGCTATGGCGCTGCCCTCAGCAGCGCCCTCCTCCTCTGCACGACCTCACGTGTTGCACCTCGCCTCCCAGCGCTAGCAGCAGCCTACGAGCATTAGCTCCAGTAGCGCTGCCGCCCAACATGCGAGTGCCTGAATGAGGCAGTCAGGGCCGAGCTCTTTCCTTTATGGAAAGAGTTGGCCTGCTCACGCAGCCTGGCTGCCTTGGCCTGGGCCCAAAAGCTTCCAGAAGGCCCTAGGAGGCTGCCTGGATGCAGCAGCTACTGGGCTGCTGGGCCTCGTTCGGTTGGGTGCCCAACTGTCTCTGTATGAGGCTGCGAATCACGGCCAGGGCCTGCATTCTTTGGAAAGGCCCGKTAGGCCGTGGAAATGTCCTTGTTGCTCGGCCTGTGTTTCTTTCAACCAACTGGCGCGTCGCAACTGCYTGAACCCCAAATACGAAATTGAYAGTCGAAGGCCTTTTGCAAAAAGCCAGGCMCGCCTTCACTTAGGGCGGGCACCTTCGCCTTCACTTAGGGCGGGTAAGGCTGCAGACAGGGCCCCATAGGCCTACCGAGGACCCTGATCCTCGCATTCCCTCCTTAACTTCGTGAGTCCTCTGAGAAGTCTTCTTATTCTGCAGGCATCTTTCCTTTC